GTCCTGCAGAGTTTAGCTCCAACTTGCCTCAACACACCTGACTGGAAGTTTCTATGCCTAGTAAGAGCTTGATTAGCTGGTTCAGGTGTGTTTAATTAGGGTTGGAGCTAAACTCTGCAGGACACCGGCCCTCCAGGACCGAGTTTGGACAGCCCTGTTGTTGCAATATTCATCAATTGTGATTAAAATTGGATTCAGTTCTCATCTGATAGTGTCCGTGCCATCAAATCAATAATATTACTAGTGAATATGAAGTGACTTTTAACCCTATAAACCCTGAAAATCAACTGTCTTTTAGAAAGTAGCATAATAAATGTTAACAGCACACAAAACCACATTTTCAAAACATGTAATATGCAAGAGAAACCCCTAATTCTCAAATAACACAGGTCTGACTTCAGACTGCGGTTACACACGAGATACTGAGATGAAGCACCTGTTTGATCAGCATGAGGCTCTGAGCAACATTTCACTCCGTCTGCTCCTGAGGGAAAACTCCGGAGCTTCGTTTTACTGGAAGTTACAGTGGTTAAATGTCGACTGAATGACAAGTGACCTCTAAAAACGTGTACACATGAGGAGGAGGTGACACGAGGAATTCAAAAGCACCTGAGAAACAAACACGAACTGCATTCTTGAGCATCTGTCACAATTGGAGCAAAACTATGGAGCTTATAATATGACAAAACTATCTGAATTTGTATTGTATAAATTTGAATTATTGACAAGTGGCATTTTTATGTGGCATTTAACATAGTTCTGAATTAGATTATTTTTTTTTTTACTTGAATATTGATAAATGCAACTTGTCAATTATTCAAATTTATACAATACAAATTCAAATAGTTTTGTCATATTATAAGCTCCATACAAAACACGCTGTGATGCAAACAGCCAGATCTGTGAGCCCTCGTACTATGAAAGCTTGTTTCTGCCATGGAACAAAATAATAAAATAGGCAACTGCAACCTTTTTTCTTCACAATTGTGAGTTTATAGCTCACAACTTTTTTTCTCTCAATATATCTCAATCTTATATTGACAACAAAAAGACAGAAATGTGAGTTAAAAAGTCTTAATGACCTTTCTTATCCCATGGCAGAAACAAGCTTCCATATCAGACTGACAGACACGCTACATAATAACATCTCTGACTGCTTTGACGTTTCCCTTCCACTAATCTGCTGTGAGATTCGATGGAAGTTAAAGGGAACAGAGTCGATATTCCTGATAACAGAGGAAGCTGATTCCAGGTCACCATGATCCCCTGACACAACCCAGGGTCGTGACCCCTGTGAGAAAGCTTCTGCTAGGACGGATTTATGGGTGATTATCAAAAAGTACAGTGCATGGAAATTCGTATGTGGGGAAAAAACATTTGAGTTTCATTCAGAATTTTCTGCACTGAAAACAATTTAGTAAAAAAAAAAAAAAAACTAGATACAAAGTAACAATTTAAATAAAGCTGAAATTTTGAAGTAGAAAACTGAAATTACATTTTCTTGTACAAAAAATACTCCAATAATCTTTGTTCTATTTACCAAATAAATAAATAATCAATTAATCAGATTTGTTCAGAAGGGTCAGTAAATAAGCATACGGGAATTTAAAAAAGGGGGTGCTCCAAGCCAATGGTCAAAGGGCATTATTATTAAATACATTTAATATAATTAATTGCACATCACTACAAACAGTAGTAGAAAAAAGGGAAGGGAAGCTGGAAGGCAAGTGGATTATCTGTCCATTAAAGCTGCTCATCCTGTTAATTTCTCTTTCTCATTCTCCTCTGAAAGCCATTTGCAGACAGCTCAGGAGCTGAGGAACATTGTGGAGGGATGAAGTCATTTTTGTCGTTCTTCCAGAAATGAGATTCAGCCCTGATATCAGGTACCCTGACAGGGAGGGAAGGAGGGAGTAATGGATGACAGCAGGGCTGTAAAAAAAAAAAAAAAAAGAAAAAAAGAAAAGTGATACTTGGAAATGAAAAGAGGTAGAAAATAAAGGACTGATTGAGTGGAAATGAAGCGAGTGAGTGGAAAAGAGCACAGGAACATGGAGGAGAAGAGAAAAGGGGCTCTAGTTGTTCCCTGTTGTTTTCATTTAAACAGGCACCAGGAATGTGGCCTTCTTTTCCTTCACTGCTGCAAAACGGCCATGAACACAACAACCAGCATAGCACAAAGAGAGAGAGAGAGGTGAAATAAAACTTTACTTTCTCTAGTGCAGATAATTAACTAAAACTAAAACTTTTACTTATTTGTACGTGCATACAGACGACGGCGGGTGTTGTTCGATTTCTGTTTAATTAGATTATGACTTTAGCCGGATTAAGGTAATCAAAAATCTCGGTTTACATAGTAGATTCCTAATCAGAGTATTGTCTTAATCGTGTTAAAATCGGAGTATTGTTGTCCATGTAAACGTACTGACTGACATGCTAATCACAGCATCATATTAGGTTTGTTAATGCAAATTCACTCTTAGTATTAGTGATTTAAACAACCACCTAGCAATCACCTGCAACAACATTAATTTTGGCACCGCTAGTATCAGCAAACAACATTGCAGTTTCAAACTATTTCTCAAATAGTAATAAGAAAATATTTTAATGACACTTTAATATTATGCTTTAATAATATTTTGTCTCCCACACAGACTTGATTACTTAAGAAAATATTAACGCGTGTAAAATCATTAGGCTACATTTTGAATTTGAAAATTCAACACAAATATATTTTTCTTTAGACTCTGCTGGAATAAAATCTTAAACCAGCCTAAGATGGTTGTTGGTCTTAGCTAGTTTAAAATAGTTAGCAAGCTGATCTTCCAGCGTGGTCTGCTGAAAAGTGTCAAAAACCCCTCTGAAATTAATCAACAGTCCTCTTAAACCAGTAAACCAGCTTAGCATGGTAAAGCCATTTTTTCCTCTGCAGGCAAACCGATGAATCACTCACAACAGCAGCAGTGACTCTGTAAGCAAGTTTAAAGAGTGAGAAAATCTACAAACATCTCTCACATATCCAGACACTGCATTAAAACACACTGACTCACAAGCGTCTGGGTTAACATACACAGGGAATTACTCTCAGTTAGAGGGGAAGACACAGACGTAACTGTGTCCTCTCTGAAACGACAGTCCGATCGCAGGCAGACAGCAAACACATGCCCTCATTCCAGCTGAGCCTTTAATCCCGCTAAAGACACTGAGCAGCAGTTACAGCCAGAACAGCATCAAAGCTTTGACAAGTCATGCAAACACAGCACACAGTCGTCTGGAGTGTGTGTATGAGTGTGTGCGCTGTCTCACGCCTGGCACTTTGTTTCCAAACAGTCTATCGAGCAGAGCAGCACATTCCAGCCTCTGCAGCTCATCAAACATATTAGTAACCACAACAACTTCCTGTTTCTGTTCCCCAGCTTCCTGTCTGCGCAGGATCACTCGGCACTGGCACTGATAAAGGAGCAGAGACTCTTATAACACACACACAACAGACACTCAAACACACACACAAGCAGTGTCCCTCCCTTTCCTGCTAAAAACACACATCATAAACCAGTTAAGACCTGCAGACCAGCTGAAGTCATAGAGCTAAAAATTGAATGTTGAGAAGATTATTTGAGATATTGAGATCACTAACTTTTGACTGCAGACTTACGGGACAGTTTGAGACTTTGAGATCTCTTCTGAAACTCTTAAGCAAGTCTGCATTTGCTCTCTGTTTAATCTTTTAAAGATATAGAAAAAAAGTTTCATTAGCACAAAAATATTTTCAATTTATCCATCAATTTGTGTTTCCAGGCATTTACAATGGACGTCTGTGGGGCAAGGTATTGCTTCAGGATCATCATTACAATATGCACTGGTTTACACAAGAAACAATATGTGTTATTATGTCCAGTGTGACAGAATCACTCACTGACTTTGTCAGTGCAATGTTATATCCAATCTTTCATCGTCATACAAATTACTATTTACATGGAGCAAACTCCAGCCACTGGAACTACATCAGTAATGCATAACCAGATATGCATCAACCTTGAAAAGTAGTCCCAAAATGGACAATTTGGTTGACTTTACAGATCAAATACAGATCATAGTATTCAACTCAAATGCTTTAAAACATAAGCTTTACATTTCTGCTTGTAAACCCTCTAAAGACTGACCACATAGATTCTCACAGGTGCATCGCTGTAGAACTTAAAGGGGTCATATGATGTTGCTAAAAATAACATTATTGTGTGTATTTGGTGTAATGAAATGCGTTTATGCAGTTTAAAGTTAAAAAAACACATTATTTTCCACATACTGTACATTATTGTTTCTCCTCTATGCCCCGCCTTTCTGAAACGCATGGATTTTTACAAAGCTCATCGGTCTGAAAAGCGAGGTGTGCTCTGATTGGCCAGCTATCCAGTGCGTTGTGACTGGCTGAATACCTCAAGCGTGTGACGGAAATGTTATGCCCCTTACCATCATACTGTGGTGCCGTTTACCGGAGCCACGAGACAAAAACATTAAAACCCATTATAAACGAGGCATTTGTTGCATTCAGTGGGGACATAATTACGGATTATAATGACTTATACTGTCTTTTTACGCGTTGCATTGCATCGCGCAGCGTAAACATAAAACCATGTCTGCATTTGTGATCGGAGAAATGACAAACTACAAGTGCTACTCTTCACTGCTCAAAACTCACGTTTGAATAATCAGTGGCAAATATTTTAAATATGAAAACGTACTTTTCAGGAGCGTCCGGCGGGCTTGCAGCAACCACATGTGACGACCCCGGGCTGGACTCTGCTTCGTCCACAGTGAAAGCCGATCCAAGCGGCAGCAACAACAATACTACAGCGAGAATAAAAGTTACGCCTTCTTTCTTTGCGTGAACATTTGGGCGGCGTTATGCAAATCTTCCCACATCGTGACGTAGACATGTGGGGGCATGTTAGAACGAGCCGTTTTAGGTAGGCGTGGTTGACTCTTAACTTTTATAAAGAATAGGCTCTCTTTGGATTTGAGACTTTAGTCTTTGGAACTTTACAGATCTTCTTTATGCACCAAGAGCTTGTAACGCTCCAAAGAGAAAGGAAAAATTTAAATCGCATCATATGACCCATTTAAATGAGGAAAAAGTGGAGTTTAATCAAGAACATCAGCAACATGTTTAGATTTTTCATTACTGTGTGGCAGCATCTTTTGATTATGAACACAAACTCTCACACATTTGTTTTGTACATGGAGGTTATTTAGCAGGCTTTGCTTTTGTTAGGTTCTTTTATCTCAGCTCTTTTGCTTGTCTTTGTACAGCTGAGCACAATGTGTTCACCCTCCTCTATCCAAGAACCATTTCACATTACCACAGCATTGAGACATCTTCACAGGTTACTCACAAAGAGCTCAATCTGAGGGTGTATTCCCCTCCACAGCCTGTCCACATGTGTTTTTCCTTCATCATCACAACCTCAGGGAATACTTAGCTAACCCATCTCCACACACTCGTCGCAGCCCCTGTAATAAACACCCTGTGTTTATGGTCTGAACCTCTCCAAGCCTCAATATTCATTAACCCACTAGTGTCAGATGTCCACCCGCTCCTCTTTCACTAAAGAATGACTACAGTAATACAGGCAACATAATTACCCTGGTCTCAACTTTTACGTAATAAATGCCATTACTGTGGTTAATGATTACCCGATTATCCAAATCACATAGAATGCCACCAAACACATTTGAAGAACTAAGTTGAAAGAATTCACAATCCACTGGCCTCAAAAAGTAACTTGACACTTAAAAATGACTTATAAGTATCATTGCATTAGAAGCATTTCTTAAAAGGAAAGATAAGCACACTTGGTTTGATATTTACTTATATAATGCAATGTAGCTCATCCATATTTAACTGTGGCTTAAGTGTACAAATACTTTTTGAGGCCACTATATTGATTTACAAATATTCTGTAGACAAAATCTTTGGACACTGTACTGAAAGGAGGAAAAAAAACCATGAAAGAAACATCAAACAGCCCTACACATGTCATAAAGCAGGCATTAGTCTCTGGAAATGCGCCTGGAGCTAACAGCTTAAGAGGAGGAACGTTTAGCTCTATTTACACTTCGTGTTTTCATTAGCCAGAATACAAATGCGTGTGTGCAAGTTCCTGAGAAGAGAGTCAAAAGCTTGCGCGAGTCTCCAAGACTCTGTCAATGATGGGCTCAAATTAGACTGCATAATCCAAGCTGAATGACAAGGCCATGCAAACATTTCCCCAATGTGCACATGATAATGACCCTTGCGAGGAAAAAAAGGAATCTGGCCAACAGAATGTTACTCAAACTCATCTGCACCCTTTATATAATCAGCCAATATCAGGCGGCTCCAAGTAGAGTGCTAAGTGGACCACAATACTGAAAGGACAATCTGGCACAGACAAAATCTCAGGAAAGTACAGCACCATAAAAGGTGGACTGAGGGAAACTATGACCAAACCCAGTGTCTGAGACAGACCAACCGTGCTACAGATGGCTTACCAAAGCCATACAGTGAACTAATCCATCATTGAGAGTATGCAAGGCTTTGGAAAACATCACGGCCCTCGGACATACACTATCAAGCACAACACTGTTAAATATGAAGTATTTGAAAGGTATTTCTCCCTAAGGTCAGTCTGGTAACACAAGCCTTTTTTGAAGGTTACTTTAGTCTTTTCTAACTTTCTATACAACGGATAAACCATTACATAAATACACAAAGAGATAAAGCATTCCCTTCAAAATACGCCAGTTAAGAATGCCAGAATATTCGGACTTTTCATAGAGGCAAGTAAACAAAGGAACATTTGCGGCAGACAGTGGGAGAAACACACATAAGAGTATACACACACTCACACACACACACTCTACAGGCATTGGTCCAAAAGGAAGGTAGGCTAAGGAAAAGAAGAACAACATGACTGCAGAAGAACCTGCTAGGGGCAAAATAAATGTCCTTCATATTTCTAAGAAACATTGTTCTGCTCTTTCCATCAGAGACAAAAACAAAGTCGGGAGCTGTAAATTCAGCTGCACAACAACCTGAGGTAACAACATGTCAAACGCTGCACAAATAAATTCATAATTTTGCACATGCATACCCACTCAAGCTGAAGGCCTTAAAACTCTCATCCAAGTTCTTTTTAGAGCAATACATCAGATTTATCCGCAATATAATTCAGTCCAGAACACCAGCATAGAGGTCTCATAAAATATGAAAAAAACACTTCATCTGGCTTTGCTCACAAGTTATCGCCCATGATTATAAAGCAAAAAGGCTACATCCAATACGGTTTATAGAAATATATTTGCAAGCATTTACATCATTGCCATAAACAAATTCAAAAACATATAAATAACCAAAATAGAGAACAAAACATCACTCACCACTCTCGGTTTGGCCTTCAGAGAGGCAGTGGAAAGTTCCTCGCTGGACTTCCTCTCTAGTTTTGGCTCAGCAGTGGTGGTAGGAACTGAAGGCGTGGAAGTGGTGCCTTCCAGAATAACCCCACCAGTAGCTGCTGGGGTCTCTGCCGGGCACTCTGGAGAGTTCAAGGCCAAGATGTATTGCTCAGTGACGTCCTCTAATGATGGAGTTTCCTCCCCCGGCACTGTTTTGCTGGGTGTAGAAGACTCTCCGACATGGCTAGACCTCTGGAAGTCCTGGGAGATGTGGGCATGTGAAGGAATGATGGGCACAAATGTGGCAGGTTCACTGGCATGCCGCACGTGTTTGGGTCTGACTTTTGAGGCAGGAAGCTGGGGGAGGATGGATGCGGAGGACTGCTCTTCACCTTGTTCAACTAAGTGATCCCCGTCATCACAAGACAACTGATGGGTAAAGCGGTTTGTGTGTTTCTTGGGGCTTCTGCGACTGGTGCGAGGAGACAAAACCTGAGCTAGCTTAGGGTCAAAAGGAAATGAGGGCTCACCTGGGGCTTTTGTTTCTCCGTTATGACCAAGGTGGGAGGGCAACACATGCTCAGATTGTGAACGAGACCTTCTGGTTGGACAATAAAGTTGTTGTTGTTCGCTATTGAGCGCCCAAAGCTCGTCTCTTTGCTCGGATAAGATGGGCTCACTGCTGGAAGGTGGTATGGATTGTTCTAGTTCACAAATTGGCTCGCTGGGATGCTTTTGGAATTCTAGGACAGTATTTGCCAGTTCTCCACGTCTGCTAGGGTCGCTAAAGCTCTTTTTCTTCACAGCCTTGCCATTCACCTTCTCATCAATAAGATTGTCCATTGCGCCAGGTTCACAAACAATGCTCTGAATAACAGTACTGTAATCTCTCAGGCTGTCGCTACACATGGAAAGGTCACTGGCAGCACTGCCTGTATATTCAGAAAGATCTGCTGCAGAAGACTCCACACCAACACCCACCTTGGAACTTAGAGAGAGTGAACTGAGCAGGTTGCTGTCCATGGAGAAGCTCTTTCCGCCATCCTCTGCATCTGACCGACGTCTATGAGGCATAGGATCACTCAAGGAACGGTAAGCAGACTCACCATTAGACTCTCCGTTACTGCCATTGCTGGAGTCTGAGCCGTTGTTTCCAGCGGAGGAGAATTTCCTTCGCCTGCGAATAGCACTAGGAGTAGACGGAGCCTCCAAGGCCCCCTGGTTTACATTTTTACTGCTGCTAATGTCTCCTCCTATGGCTACTCCCTCATACTCCGTCTTAACAGACGGAACTTGAGATGAAAGAGATTCCTCTGGTGTTGTATAAGGCAACTGCTCTTCGTACAACCCTGACTGATTCCAAACGGTGAGAGTCTGATCCAGCAAGTCTTTACCGCAGGATAGCCCCCCATATGAGCCAATCTCTGGCTCTGTGACAATTCCTTCATCTGTCAGGCTAGATTCATGGCCGGAGAGTTCATCCAATGACTTATCACAGAACATGTTCTCCTCCGAATTTCCCTTCTGTAAACATTTTCCACTTTTTCCATCAGCCTCCCCTTCCTTACACCCAGTAAAATCAGAGTGTTCAAGTCTACTCACCTCCTGCTTTGCCTTATCTTCTTTTTCAGTGTCTATTTTAGCATCACTGCTTTTTGTCTTGAAACGGTCTTCCTCATAATCATCATAGTCATCCTTACTTTCGCCCATCTGACAAATGTCTCTTATCACCTGTCTGGCTTCCTGCACGTAGTGGTCTTGCAGAGGGGTAGGCATTGGCTCGTCGTAACAGTAGGTACTTCTACAGTCGTCGCTCTCCACCTCCCTGTCAGCAATCAACACCTGCTCGCCACTATCTTCAGAGTCTAGCCGTCGCTCGGGGGAACTCCTTAAACCTGGCCCGCTACTATAATATTGCTGCCCTGCTGGCTTCTCAGAGTAAGAGAAAGACTTTGCCCTCCTCAAAGTAGCAGTGAGATCCTTCAGGGAAGGGCGTCCATGGTGTGGCCGATTTGTCCTTGAGCCCATTCTGTACACAGATGTACCTTGATCAGAGTTAAGACTGCCCTTGTCATCTTGTCCCTTTTTCTTCATTTTCAACTCAGACAGATCGGTCTTAAGGTAGCTAAGAAGTGATAGAGTTTCAGAGGCAATGTCAGGGTTGGATATAGAGATCCTGTTCCTGTCTTTCTCATTATTTAAGGAGTGGCAGAATACCCTGTTGTCTGAACTGCGGGTTTTATATTCTGCTGGGCTTAAGCTGGACACAAGCTTAGGGTGAGCTCGAACTGGGGCACGAGACAAGTTATCTCCATGGCCAAAACTAGGCGAGCGGTACATGGTGGCATTGCCATGGTATGTTTTACTCAGAGCAGCTGATGAAGCCCTGCCATAGCTGTGGATGTTGGCTGGCTGATCCTCTTCTTTTAACGTCTCTGTGCTAGAATACCTGCTACTACTTCTTGACCCCAACGGACTGGATGTAAATGAGGGTATAGTGACTTTCGAAACCCGCGACACCTGAGGAACAGGGCTAGTTCTGACTGACCCCTCGAAATTTCTATATAGGTGCCTAAAGCTGTCCTTAGTCACACGGGATCGTTGAGATGTGCTGTCTCGTGCCCATGGCATGCCCATATAACAACCCCTAGAATGGAAACCTTCAATCTTGCGGCCCACCGTTTGAGAATCACACGGCTGCATCATTACAGGTTGGTTGTCACTGTCATCTGACTCTTCATTGCCTCTGCTGCAATTGCTTTTCTTCTTTTTCCTTAGCGAGCGACGTCTTACGTCCTTGTTGTGGTGTGCTAGCGCTGCAGGGCTATCTTCCTCACTGCCTGAAGACCTTCCTCTCAACTTAGCCCTGATGCCATACTTGTTTTGTGGGAAGTTATCGCCTGTCCGTTCTCTGAGCTTCTCGTCCTCTTCTCCAGAGCTCAGTCTTCCCCCAGTGCTGGCTAGTTCCACGGAGGGCCCTGTCTGTGGTTGGGAGGAGTTATGCGAGGAATGCGAGCTATCCGGTGGCTGTGGCTGCTCTGCCCTCTGTCTCTGCAGCTGCCAACGGTGAGACCTGAGGGGCAAAGCGGTCGTTCTACTGCGCGGTGGGGGAGCAGGAGGAGAATCACAATTCAAAAACTCAAAGGAATGGCTTTCAGCAGCTAAAGTATGGAAGTTAGGGATTGAATAGTCCGCATACAATGTACTGTTGTCATGATGAGAGCAGTTTGTGTCTTGCCAGTCTCCCCTTGGCTGGTGGGGGAACTGTTTGTCACTTTTGTCTGGAGTTGAGATGCCCTCTTTAGCGTCGAAATGCTGGAGGTGTTGACATGCAGATTTCAAGTCATCAGCATCTGAAGTTGACCGATGTTGCTTTCTGCGTCCATCCCCAAATAGTTCTCTAATCTTAGAAACGCTTGGCCAGTTTGCATCAATATGAATAGATGTCTCTCCATAGGAAGGGTGATAGTGACGAGATTTGCATGTTGGGCTCCCTAAAATAAAAACATTGTTATATTAACACACATGTATTCATTACGCAGACACATTGATCCAAATCGACATTCAAAGAACATCACAAGCAAATTTTCAGTGCACTAAATACAGTACACTAAGCTAACTTTAAAGTACAAGCCAAATTAGTACATAAGCTTGAGCCAGAAGCATTATAGAAAGTGTCTTTGTTTATGGCAGACGAATTGTTGGGTGCTAAATGAAAACTAGTGATTTCAAAACAATGTATCTTACCTGTGTTTGTGCCACCCACAGTTTTCTGGAGCCTGTGTTTATCTCCTCTGCCCGAATCCGACCCTGACACAGACTCTTGAGCCGCGCAATATCTTTTACTGTCCTTAAGTTGTTTCTCCGTCGCAGACTCAGAAAACTCCTTGGATATGCAGCCACTCTCGCTCAAAGACGAATCTTCGACACTTTTTGTGTTTTTAACGCTTCCAGTGTTGACTAATGAGCTCTGTGTCCCGTCTGTGCTCAAACTGAACTTCTCAGAGAGCTGACGAACCGATGGAGATACTCCATGCGAGGCTTTCTTGAGGTCTGCGGTCGAGAGGCTGGCCGCTGAGATTTTGGAAACTTTTCTGGATTCAGTAACAGCGTGCGTCGCTTGTGATGGCTGCGCGCTGTGCTCTACGGCGTCTGGGGGAAGGGCACCGCACCTATCCAAATCCCCTCCAAATGATCTGCGCTTTGCGCTCCAGCTCTCTACCTTTTTGAAAGAGACGCTTCTGTGAACAGGCGCTTTTCTTTCAATCGCCCTTTCAGCCATTGCGATGCCTGTCCTCCCACTTGTCTTTCTTACTATTCTCTCAGTTCATTGATGAATAGTCCGCACTTTTCTTCTCCTTCGTGTTCCGTGGTTGCCTTTACCCCCTGAAAACAACTTACAATGCCCCCATTTAACCACAAAAGTTGCTTGGCAGTGTTTTCCGAAGAGGAGGACAAAAAATTCAGGAACAATAGATTAGCTTGTTTACGAAAACAGAGTTATATCCCCAGAACTTTGCGCATGTTTGCTTCCCTTAGTGTCCATCCATGCATTTAGAAAGAGCTCAAAGTTTGAGCAGAAAACTCCCAAGTGTTTCAGCCCAACACACACTAGAGCAACGTCTGAATAATGTACATTTTCCAAAGTAAATCCCATTTCCTTGGCCGACTGACTTTTTTCAAAAGCATGCTTTATTTCCAGCTGGAATAAGTGCGCTCAGTCTTATTTTGGCACAATTAAGGGTTTCCGTGACTTGTGGCTTTTTACATGCAGCTAGTTGCTTGGATTGAGGGCGGGACTAAAACATGGGGTCGGGGTTAGAGAGAGACCCCTGGGGAATACGAGGGGGGATCCAGCTTTTCCTCTTTCTGATGTGAGAGAGCAGATAATGCTGACGGTTTGAGTCAGTTTGTAAACACACAGTAGGAAACTTTTGGACAAATTATCATCATCATTTTCTTTGCTGAGCTTTGGGGAAACTCAGACATAAATCTATAGCCTCTTTAAGCAAAAGCTCTGCTTGTCTGCATGGTCTCCATGAACTGGCTTTGCAGTAAAAACTTTTGCAGTCCTTTGTTTCGAAGGCTTCTTTTTTCTCTCGCTCTCTTTTCTTCTTGCCTTTTAGTTGCATGTCTAGACTGCTCTCTAGTGGCCATGTTCTTATTTACTCTTATCTAAAGTTGACTATGAATGTAATTTCATCAAATAATAAATAAAATATCAAACCAAGTGTCATTATTATTTTAAAGTCCACTTTTCAATAATATATTTTTAAAAATAAATTTTTAGTTAGTTCCGATAAAATATCTGGCATGATTTTAATTCAGATGTGTGGATTGGTATTTTTTATGTAATGCAATGACATTTATACATGTTCAAATGTAACTTTTGAGTCCACTGTAGGTCTTTCTTGAACCTGAATGTTAGCTACAGTAATATAAGAAATTGCAGGAAATTAAGTTTATTGATTCGTCTTTATTGGACCAACAACAAACCAGGATAAAACACAGCGGACACAATTCAACTAGACAAATCAACGTTTCACATTTAAAAGCAAAACAAACAAAAAAAAAATTTCACAAAGACCTCATTGAGGATATAGATTTGTATAGCTTCATTTAATATTATACTTGTTTATACAACAGCAGATTCTGCAGATTAGCCTACTTACACAGAGTTTGATATGTATAAACAAAAGCAAACATTCACTGACAAAATTTTCTTTGCACAGTGACCGACAAGCATTCAATAACTAGTATGCTTACTTGAAAAAAGATCTTGTATGCACATACTACATTAGAAACACATATGAAATGACTTTGCTAGTACATTGTAGCATAACACAAAAGCTGTTTTCATCATTATATGGCCACAGTGATTAATTTTGCCCATAAGTTGCATGTCATATATTGTTTAATTATTTGAAACTCTCTTTATGTAAATGCTAAAATAATGTTTAACCATTAGCGCTGAAGCAAGTGGTCAGTTAAATGTGCAAAAATCACGTCTGCTTTAACAACAAAACTTGTTGGTCAAGTACGCCACCTACTGGCAGTTCACAGAGTCAACCACAGTAATGCTTGTTACATTAACTATACTGTATAAAGATTGTTTGTATGTATGGAATACCTAAATGATCTACTATATTTGCCAAAATACAGCCATTATTTAATTAGACAGGCACAAAACTGGATTTCAAAATGCAAAATAGCATAATTTTTTATTTTATTTTATTTAATGTTAACTGAATGCCACTTGCTGAATTAATAATGCAACATGGAAAGGTTGCATAACAACAATGTATCTGTTTGACATGTTTATCACTGCATAATGCATGCAGTTTCACAAACAATTTAAATTAAAAACAAGGTGTAGTATACAGTATTTACAGTGCAGTATATAGTATGTTATATTTCACTCCAAACTTAGAGTGCTTCATGTTCATGCAGATTGAAGAAAAGGCTCTTCTCCAATCAGATATAATGAGGTGAAATTCATTCATATTTAAAAACTCACAAAGATAATACTGGCCAAATGACTCAAATACATTCACACTCACAACAATGCAACAGAATTTGTATTACTATACTGTAAACCCAGCCTTCCAGCCATTTCTATTTGTAGTTTTTGGTCATGTGGTAGCTTCAAATAAAAGCGTATAACCCATGTGATATCTAAACTTCTTCATGAAAACACAATGACAGTACAAATATGTCTTTGTACGGGAGCTCTGCGTTGTTAACACAAGATCCTTCTCTAGTAGGACAAGATGTTACATCATAAGCATGTTGAGCTGTACAAAGTGTTATTAAACCATCAAACATCTGATAATGACCTTCAGACAATGTGCAGCAGATGCTGTATGTTAAACAGATGGTGTTATTCTTTCCATTCATCTCTATCTCTCATCCATAATTCCACACATCACTGTCTCAGTGCACCTATTTATCCAAAATATCACGCATATACAGTACCGTTCAAACGTTTGGGGTTGCTAAGCCAGTTTTTTTTTTTTTTAAGAAGTCTCTTCCGCTCACCAAGGCTGCATTTATTCGCTCAAAATAGCAAAAACAGTAATATTGTGAAAAAATATTACAATTTCAAAAAACTTTTCTATTTGAATATATTTTAAAATGTAATTTATTCCTGTGATGCAAGGCTGAATTTTAAAACATTTCTCAAGAAACATTTCTGATTATTATCAATGTTGAAAATGTCGTGTTGCTTCCATATATTTGTGGAAACTGAGATACATTTTTTTTTCAGGATTCTTTGATGAATCGAAAGTTCAAAACAACAGTATGTATTTGAAATATATTTTATAAAATTACAAATGTCTTAACTGTCAATTCTGATGAATTTAAAGCATCTATGCTAAACAAAAGTATTGATTTCTTTCAAAATATCTTACTGACCCCACACTATATATATCTCTTAATCTAATTGTATAGTTTTGTTTAAAAACGAAGATTTTGTTTAAAAACGAAGATTTTACTGTTTTTTTTTTTTTTTTTAATTTATCAATAAAATAATTAAAAATAATGAATGGGTGATTTCTTTTCCTTGCGTTTTTCAACAAACACATTTTTATACCTGCAAAACCTGTGCAACTTAATTGTCAAAAGTGGACAATTTTTTTTAATTTTTTTTATTATTTGCACCCAAAATCCACTTGGGTCAAAAATATGAAACTAGCAAGACATTTCTGCTTTCTCAGCTCTGTAATTCTTATATCAACAGTCATTTACATTCTATTGCCCTCATAAAATGTTCATAAGTACACCACCTTTTTCCCGGTAAGGAGAGATCAGCTGATCACGACACTCAGCCAAACTAGTGCACTCGTTCAGCTGCCATTCACAGGGTTCGAACCCTCAGATGCTTCTCTCAAAGCAAAAGTAAATGTCCATAGGGTGATGTATGATAGTTCCAATCATCATACATTCATTTTTGTAACACTCAATCAATCTATAAGAATGACTTCCTTCAACCATTATGTACAATTTTCACAGTACAGGTACTTAATGCATTGGATGTTTTGTATTTAAATATTGACTTTTTTGGTTTCAACATGCACATAGCCAGTTAAGTGTATCTTAACGTAAGACACTACAGGGTAAATGTTTAACTAACAGATATCACCATACTTTCTTAGTTAACTAATCACAGTACATCAAGACTTTACATTTTGCATTACAAGGCATTATCTAATTTAAAATGCACTAAATTCCTTACATTTCCAGAACAGAAATTTGAATATTGGATAAAGCCAGGCTCAAAATTCTTGTATCATTTTGTTGGCATATTTTTTTTAGAGAGGGTATTTTTGGATATTTCTTTTTATCCCTCCACCAATCACAAAATACTGTCAACAGCCAGGAAAAAAATATTTTCATCATGTTTTCACAAAATAAAATCTCATATAAATTAGATGAATGTTATATTAACAAACCAGTGTTATTTCAGTATCATTGATATACTTTTATAGTGTTTGTAAGTATTCTAAATTTGATTTGTATATTTTTTGTTTTCACTTTAATTGTAGTTACATTTTTAGCAATTTTGTTGTTTTTGTTTTATTAGTATTTTTAAAATGTTAATATAGTTTTTATTCATTTTTATATATTATTTAGTTTTAGTTATTTTAATACTTCACACTAATTAAACAAAAACGAGAAATGTTGCCTTGACAATCAGTTTTTTTTTGTTTTTTTTTATTCTTTATTTCAGTTAGCATTTATATTATTTCAAGTATCAAAAATGTTCTTGTTTTTTGTTTTAATGGTTTCAGTTGTAGTTAACTATAATACCCCTTGAACAAACCCTTCGAAAAACCTTTGGTGTGATGTAAGTGCTGCTGAAGTGGAGATTTTTGGATTAGTGTATTAAAAAAAACTAAAATCGTTTTGAGAAAAGAGCTTTTAGAGATATGTACTGTAACTGAAATCTATAGACACAGATCGTGTCAAAATAAACACTTAAAGGTGCAGTAAGCCATTTCTGAGAAAGGCTGTTGAAAGTGGATCAGACAGAACACCAGAACACACTTGTAGCCAATCAGCAGCAAGGGGCGTGTCCACTAATGATGGGGGGTGGTGCCTGTGTTGCAAAGCATGTTAAAGAATTGGGGGCAGAGCTATCAAAACAGGGGTGTGATTATTTTGGTTAGGGGCATGTCTTTTTTCTTCTGCACCTTTAAATGTCTATTTTGGATGTATTTTTCCTCTACACTCTCACAAATGCATTTACAAAACTGTCACTACAGTGGTACCCTTTCAAAAGGTACTAATTTGTAAACCTTAGCCTAAAAAACTCAAATATGTCTAGTGGAGGAAAAAAACATGGCTATGATTGTACTGTAGTGTCTTGCTTTAACACACAGTTATTTAGATCCAAGCAGGTGTGCTCCAATCAGATTTTGTCAACCTTGTCTCTGAGCGAGGTGATCTTGAGCAGCAGACTCCTGGTGCTGCGTCTGTACTGCGGCTGGGTGAAGTAGAACAGAATGGGGTCCAGAACGCTGTTCATGCTGGCGAAGGGTCTGGTGCATTTGTAGACCACAGACAGCAGGTTCCTCAGTTCGCAGGGGGCCGTGGGAAAGGTCCTCACCAGCAGGTAGAGCGTCTTTGTCACGTGGAACGGCAAGAAGCTGATGGCGAACACCAGCATCACAATGATGATCATCCTCAAGGCTTTATTCTTCCTCTCTACGGC